CCTATAAACATTTATGAGACTGGATACAAAGGAATGTTAACTGTCTATTATACAGATGAGAGCTTACTCATTCTGATGAATTTAGTTACTGCCAATGTAGTCACCTAGGGAGGCTGGATAGTCATCTCAGCAACTAGATGACCAAGGCTTGCTTACAATTTTCTACAGAGCTCCTGAGAGCACTAACATGGAATTTTAAGAGCATTATATACACCCATGCTTTTAGGGGTGACTTGATATTTAGGAACATCCATAATCCATTCAAGACAATAGGTGTGAAGGTATAAACCTGGAACTTAGGAAAGTTAGGCAGGAGTATCCCTAGTTTCAGGCTAGCCTGGGCTACATAGCTATTTCAGACACAGCCTTTGACACATAGTGAGACCCTGTCTCAAAATATGGAAAAAAACAATGCAATCAGATAGCAGCAGTATTAAACAGAGTCATCTAATCACTGTTCTGTCACCTGCAACAGTGATGCATTGCTGGACCCACAGCCTAAATTGTGGTAGAAACCTTACAGAACACTTCACTCCTCCAATTCTCGCCATCTCAAGACCATCCCACTATGCCCATTTATCACCACATCTGTCAAATAACATATAGTAGTCTCTACCAAGAACTGAGCATAACATAGAAGTACTTACAAGGACCAGAGGTAATATATTTTGAGGATGATGTGAGCCAAAACAAAAGTTTTCATGGTTTACTTACATTTTCATAACATAAGATTGTTTTAGCTTATCTACCTTGATTTTTCCCTATTATTCACAGCACTCATTTTCATTTCCTGCTGTAAAGAAACTGATTTACTCTATCTAAGAAAAATATATCACTGTATTAATAGCTTTATACTAAACTCGGGCTCTAGCTGTAAGATTTTGTACAACTGGGGCTAGAAGATGGCTTAGCAGTTAAGAATACTTCCTGCTCACCAGGCGGTAGAGGTGCACACCTTTAATCCCAGCGCTCAGGAGGCAGAGCCAGGTAGATCTCTGTGAGTTCAAGGCCAACCTGGTCTACAGAGCGAGACCCAGGACAACCACCAAAACTACACAGAGAAACCCTGTCTCCAAAAACCTAAAAAAAAAAAACAAAACAAAAAAAAAAAGAATACTTCCTACTGGAGTTCCTTTCTGAGTACCCATGTCAAATGGTTCACAACTGCCTGGTAACTGCATCTCAAGGCAGTCCAATGCCCTCTTCTGTCCTCTGTAGGCACTGCACTCATATACATACATACATACATACATACATACATACATACATACATACACACACACACACACACACACAGAGAGAGAGAGAGAGAGAGAGAGAGAGAGAGAGAGAAAGAGAATTATCTTTAAAAAGATTTTGTACAACTTTTACATGTCACAGATAGCTAGAAAACTTAAGTCAGCATTGTGAAATTAGTTATTTCTTTTAAAACGCAAAGCTACTTCAACAAGACATCTCTGTAAATAGGGACATTTTGTGAGACTTGTCATTTCTGTTAATCCAAAAATAAGAGTTGATTTTTTCCATCTTGATCTTCAGCAGTACCTTGAGAACATCTAGTGTATCTTCCACACATCCAACATGAAGATTGGAATCACTTTTGCCATGTTTCTATGTCCTTCCTTATAGACTATGACAGTGGCCCTCTGGTGCCTCCATTTTAGCATACTGTATTTATGATACAGACTTTTTCATGGAAAGGGGAGTCCTCATCGTCCAAGTTTTGTTTTTGTAAAACAATCCTAGACCATGTACATACACACATATTTGGAGAGACCATTATCAGGTTATTTTTTTCTGTTCTCTTACGGGAGATGAGACTCTGACTACATATAGATCATGTATATAATTCATTTGAAGCTATGTTTTGTTTTCCCTTTTATTACACAGTATTTGCTCAAAGAATTTCAAATTCCATAATGACTCTCTCTACTACGCATCCATAGGTTTACTAGCCCCATCCCAGTAGGGTCTAGCATGATGTAAGGCACACAAAATGGACTCAATAAATAGCTTGCTAAACTGTTGGAGAAAACCAAACCTTTTCTGTATCATACAGAGACCAGGAACCCCAGGTAGAAAATATTAGTTAAGTCTAGCACAATGGTATGCACCTGCAGTCTCTGATAACTCAGCAGACTGAGGCAGGAAGATCACTTGAACTCATAAGACTAGCCTGGACAATACAATGAAACTTTGTTTCAAAAAATAAAATGAAACAAATCAGGGCCAGTGAGACGGCTCAATGGGTAAAAGCACTTGCCACAAAGCCCGATGACCTGAATTTGATCCCTGGACCCACATGGTGGAAGGAGAGAGCCAACTACTGCAAGCTGTCATGCACATGCATGCGCGCGCACACACACACACACACACACACACACACACACACACACACACTAAACAAAACAAAACAAAACAGCACTGGATGAAAGTATTCCTTTTACTGCCTTGCTCTCACATCAACCTTCTTCCTGCTTTATCTCTGTAATAAAGATAATCACAAAACTAAAATAAAATTATGCCAAGCAAAATAATAAAATCAACTTCCAACTATCTCACTGTAATACATCTACAGCAAGTTTTTAAACTCAGGTGACTTATGGAATACCGGTAGATGTGTGTTCAGGGAACAACTATAATATTTGCCTAAACAGAATAAAAATAGGCAGGTAAATCTCAGGGGTATGGGGGCAGGTAGAGAATAACAATGCATTTTCTAAGTCAAACAAATTGTTAATTTGTCAGCCAATCTGTTGTTTTCAATTGGCCTGTCATTGGTCTCTCCCTATATTGGCATAGCTAACAGAGACCCAATTGTTGACACCAAAGTCCACTCCAGCTGCACAGAAGAGATCTACTTTGAAGGCCACTGTTTTTCCTTTGCCCAAAAGTTTGTTTTGGGGAACCCAGAACTTTCTTCAGTATTATTCACTCCCATACAATCATTGATGAGCATCTTTATCATAGAAGCACATCAGCTCCAGGTTCTATCAGCTTTCCTAGAATTTCCAGAGACAGCTAGAAAGCCTAAGCAGCCATAATTTAAAAGCCCTTTATTGAAAGCAGTATTTTGGGCTGAAGACATGGCTAAGTGGTTAAGAGTATATATTGCAGCCGGGCGGTGGTGGTGCACGCCTTTAATCCCAGCACTCGGGAGGCAGAGCCTGGCGGATCTCTGTGAGTTCAAGGCCAGCCTGGTTTACAGAGCGAGATCCAGGACAGGCACCAAAACTACACAGAGAAACCCTGTCTCGAAAAACCAAACCAAACCAAACCAAACCAAACCAAACAAACAAAAAAGAGTATATATTGCTCTTGTAGAGGACCCTAGTTAAGTTCCCAGCACTGATATCAGGCAGCTTCAGGGAATTTGATACCTCTGGCCTCCATGGGCACCTGCACTCACATACACACATACACACATACACACACACACACAAACACCACGCACACACAATTAAAAATAAAATAAAGGGGACTAGAGAGATGATTCTGCTGCTAAAGAGCACTGGTTGCTCTTCTAAAGGAGCCAGGTTCAATACCCAGCACCCACATGGTAGCTCACAATAGTCTTTAATTCTAATTCCAAGATACCAGGCATGCAAACAGCACACAGACATGTATGTAGGCAAAACACACATATATACAAAATAAAATTTCAAAATAAATAAAAGGTTAGAGATGGTTCAGCTGTTAAGAGCATTTTTTGCTCTTGCAGAAGACCTGGGTCCAGTTTCTAGCACCCACATGGTATCTCACAACCATCTGTACCTCCAATTCCAAGGATTCTGACGCTCTCTTCTGGTACTATGGGCACCTGGCATGCACATGATGCACACACATACATTCAGGCAAGCACTCATACACATAAAACAAAAATAAATAAATCTCTAAAACATAAATACTTTAAAGTGGTTATTTGCAAATATGTAAATCTAAAAATAAATAAATAAAAAGTGGGATCATGTGTACATGCATTCACCACACATGCATATGTGTTTAAGACCCGAGAGGTCAATGTCAAGTGTCATATTCAATTGCTCTCTACTTTATTTTTTGAGACAGTCTTTCACTGAAGCTAGATGTCACTGGTAGACCCAGAGATCTGTTTCTACCTCTCCAGCCCTAGGATTACAGGCGCATCACGATTCCCAGCTTTTACATGGGCACTAAGCATTGAACTCAGTTTCTCAGACTTGAGCAGCAAGCACTTTACCAACTGGACCATCTCCCAAGGCCTTTTTTTTTAAAAAAAAAAGGAAGTTTACCTGTAACCCCAAAGATCCTTTAAAATTTCAACTGCATATACAGTCTTCAGTTCCTCTCCTGAAATAGCAAATAGTGTCACGGCACAGCTGTTAAAGCAACTACCACATCCACCTCAGGGGTAGATGCAGCAATGAGGTAAGGTATTACTTCCTACCATGTAGTAAATGCTGAATGTATACTAAACTAATTAAAGAGGATTGTAGAGAAAAAGGACAAAGGGCTAAGATGGGGGGTGGGGTAGCAGAATGAATTTTTGTTTTCATTCTGCCACAGTATATAGTAAGTAATGTCATAAGACAAGTAAAAAATTTTAGTTTTAAAAATAGATCCCATGTGTTAAGTATATTAGCAGTTACAACATACATTTTATCTTATATAATTCTAATCATCTTATAATATTAGTAACATCTCTATTGTCTAGAGGAGAACACTGGGGCTCAAGAAAGTTAGGGACTTGCTTCCTGCCCTACTGCTAAGAAGTTGAAGAACAAGGACTTTAACACAGGTCTGTCTCAGCCGGGCGGTGGTGGCGCACGCCTTTAATCCC